TGTGGGGTGCTTCATGTTGATTACTTCCTAATCTCTACTCAGATGTTTCCGTGGTGTGCATCATTATCAATACTTGTACTGCCCAGAGTGGTCTAGTTGAAGGTGGTGATTACTGCAGATGGAAGTACACGATGACTTAAGTCCACAGCATGATCTAACAAGAAATGTGGTCCAATGGACATAATAGATACAACATGGGCAAATACAGAAGACCAGGATTTATTTAAGTTATCAAAACAAAAAGTAAAAGGAGAATTTATCATGGCTTTCTGATATCTAAAGCAGCTGTGATTTTATCAGGGGTTTTCCCTTAAGTCAAAAACTTTGAGAATTCAAAGTGAATTTCCAATTTAAATAAAACATTGCCAAACTAGAAACATTTTCCAAGTCCGCTTTGCTTTTAGATCAGTGACTTTGGGCTTAAACTTAAAATGCAATTTGAATTAACTTTGTTTTCATGATAATTCTCACTTTATTGAATAACCCTGTATATTTAAACCACAGCAGCTTCTAGAGTAAGGGTGGGCAACCTTCAGCACTCCAGATGTTATGGACTGTTTCTTCTCTGATGCTTTGCCAGCATTATGGCGGAACCTTGCAGGAGATTTAGCCCACAGCACCTGGAATGCCGAAGGTTGCATACCCCTGTTCTCGACACACAATGTCCATAAATGTCTTGGTACATTCATGTGCAAGGAAATAGCAAGGACATGTTTTTAAACCATATAATGAGGAAACACACATGTAATTTTACACATACTTTAATTATTTCGGTCATGGTTTTCTGGAATGCTACTGAGCTACTCACTAAAATTCAAGGCGAATTCAAAGTGTATTTTAAATTTAAGGTCACAAGCAGTTGAAAAAAAAAGTCTCTAAGTCAGCTGTACTTTTAGTTCAGCTACTCAGGCTTTAAATTTGGAATACACTCTGTATTCTCACTTTTGAGAATATAAAAGAGCCATAAAAGTGTTGTATTGAAGGTTTAGTTACACAGTATACTCAAAATGTAATAGATAAAGTTATAGATAAAGTAGATAGATCATGTTTACAGTCGTATTCATTTATTTACAGTGTTTATAAGCGTCAAATGAGTCCGCTCGTGAATAAGTGGTAACATCATCTAGCAGACAAAGACCAATTTAAAAAACCAACATTTAACAGGAAATTGTATGTTAACCCAATAAGTTCCATTCATTTAGTACCATTTTTAAAAACACAGTACAAACCGTTTAATGGAATGAGAGGTGCAGCAGAGTTAAGCATAAAACACTATAGCCTCTACATTGTCCGATCACATTCCTGTTGCATTAATGCGTAAACAGGCACCGTCCTTCAAGTTGCCATATGCACAAATCTGTATATAGGGCATTTGCTTGCGCTGTATTATAGAGGGCAAGGTCATTTGCACTGTATGTCAGGTTGTTGAATAAAAAACTAATAAAACCATATAAAAAAATATATAGCATAACCCAATTAATGTTTAATTAGCTGTTGGGTTTTGTAAAACATTTAGATGTGACAGTTACTATTTAAGGTCTGGTTATATAGCTTACTGAATAATAAGGTTTTTGAGGTGTTAAGATCATTAAGATGCAACATGTTTTCATCATACAATGGACTAGATTTAATACTGTAGAATATGCTTTTCAAAACAATTGAAATTTGTGGATAAACTTTTGAAATGATTTAAAGAAACACTGTAGTGTTAGGTATTCTTAACACTATAGTTTCCCTCTGCCCCTGCGACCCCTCACCCAGCAATGAATGGTTAAAAAACTCTTCAAAAAATTTACCCAATCCCAGCACCAAAGTCCATCGGAGCTGGCTTCATCTCCGCCTCCTCCGACGTCATCACATGCTTGGTGAGGGCCATGCGTGCATTAGGCCTCGCCCACAGGAAAGCATTGAATCAATGGTTTCCTATAAGGCTTTGCAAGACGATGGATATCCTCATGCACTCCGTGAAAATGCAGGGAGCACCTCTGGTGGCTCTCTGGTAGAAAAACTGCAATGCTTTCAGCTGCTCTTTAATGAGGTGCCTATAGTGTCCCTTTAATGTTATATATGTTAATTTTGTAATATTTTGATATTTTATAAATGATATATTTTTTGATATTTTAATATTAAAAGCGTATCAAACATTACATCATTTGAAAAGCTTATGAAAAAATATTAGACGCCAATGTTCTGCAATAAATAAGAACAGAAAATCTCATTTATAGATTTTGTATTAAGCAATCTTTTTTCATGCAATGCCTAAAGAAAAGGCTTTTAGTTCAAAACAATTATGATAACATAAAAAAAAGTCCAAGTGAAATGACTATGTAAAGTTTTCCACTTTCGCTTTTTTGTTAAATTATTTCCTGAAGACCCCTTCAGCAAGTCATTCTGTTCTCAGAACTTCCATGACCCACCAGCTACAACAGTCAAGGGGTTCCACAGTGTTCCACAGTAACAGGAAACATAGTTTCCTCAACCCATAACTGAGAAGTTACAACCTATTTCCTTTTTCTAATAAAGGACAAGTGGAGAGATCTAACGCTGCTTCAAACAAAAGCAAAACAGAAGTTGTGAACCAGCAAATATCACTTTTGTTGAACGGGAGGCAACATACGGATTGGAGAGTGCAAGATTTAGAATGAAATTAACAATATTTATAATTCTTTTGTATATTGATGTAGGTAGCACGAGAGGGGATGCAGATGACATTACTGAGAAACCATGGTCAGTACTTGAAGAATTAGAATTAGAAAAGCTAGTTTCTGGCAATTCTAATAGAATACACAGTGATGCCATTGGGGAAAACCATGTCACTCTAACTACTAAACCTGACAATGAGGAAAGCACAACTCTTCAGTATCCATCTATTGCTCCAACTACATCAACAACATCAGAAAGTCTTGGGTTAGAAATTTTGGAAAAAATGCTACGAGCTTCAACAGGATCATCTTCACCCAACAGGGCTGAAATGACAGAAAATCAAAATCCTGAACAAGCTGGACTTAAAGGGAACAACAACTTTGGAAAAAATGAAAGTATTATAGAAATGCCACCAAAAGGGAATACACTTATTACTCAGCAAGGAGCTCAACGCCCAGCCAAACAGAATTATTACAATAAAGCCAGCTTACCTTCCAACCAGAAACCCAGCTTTGAAACTACTAGAGGAAAGTAAGTTCTAGCTCACGTTTAGATAATCTGGAAAGTGTAAAAATAAATGTCATTCAGCACTAGAACTCAAAACCAATATCGAGTGTGAAGTGTATTTTTCAAATGTTTTACATAAACACCTTAGGAACAGTCAGCGGTCTATTCACTTAACAAGGTTTTGGTAATATGGCAACTGAATGTCTCATTCAAGGCCAAAATGTATCTCTGCTTTTTACTTAACACTTTTACTTCCATTTTGCATATTGTTAACTCACCACCACTTATAGCTTAGTTACTAGCTCTCAGAGTATTACAAAATGGTGGCTTTAGTAACTGTCACTATATACATTACATGGTTCATTTAAAGAGTTTGGAATGTATGGCATTTCTTACAAATGCTTATAGAAAGAAATATACATTTTAAATGAGAGCCACACATGAATTCTATTCAGTTTGTATATCTTAACTTGCACCCCTACCCAGTGGACTTTATATTGATTACTAATCAGTTAACAGATTGATTGCTACAATAAGCACTACAATTAGCTGGAGTGAAACTAGATTAATATTGGCATCTGGTGACATAATGCTATAAAGGTGAGAGAGAGAGAGAGAGAGAGAGGAAAGGAAGTGAAATGATATATTGAAGATGAATGAGTGTGACAGTTTTAATGTTGGCTCTATTTCATTGTTAGCTCCAAGTTCCATGTAAGAGAGAAAAAACATATCCAATTATATAATTTGGAATTGTGCCACTTTAATGCAACATATTTGAAGTTAATTATCCAACACAGTGTGGTATTGGGTATTGTTATTGGTGAAGGTTATTTATTGCAGTGGTTGCATGGTTAGTTAACAAAAGTGGAGTTTATATATATATATAATTTTTATTTATTATTATTTTTTTTTTAATAATGCTCTAGCTTTATTTAACCCCTTAAGGACCAAACTTCTGGAATAAAAGGGAATCAGGCATGTCATGTGTCCTTAAGGGATTAAAGATTCAGTGTCATGGTGTGATTTATAGAACATGTTATGGCATGGCATTTTAGGAGGTTTTTTTGTTGTTGTCAATATACAGTATAGGGAAGAGCAATAACATTACCCTTGCACTGAGGCCCCTGTATAACACTGCCCTGGAATACTCCAGGATGAAGAACAAAAGAAAATAAGACAAATTATGAGGAACAACAAAGGTTGAGGCACACCACACACACAGTCAATGCACCTTACTGAAGACAACCTTAACAGAGATCAGGAAATATACTAAATATAGCTCTGGGGTGACTGAGCATCTGGGTTCTGGGTAACTAACATCACACAATGTTATATTGTTAGGCATTGTCCTGACATATGATCTAGTGTAATATGTAATGACAATATAAAACAGGACTAAAAAATGTCCACTGGCACATTGGCCATTGTTGAGTAGAAATTCAACCCTGTGAGTGTGACATTCTCCCTTCATATTCACCTGTGTAGTAACGGAGAGGTTGACATTTTAAGCCATACTCTACATAACACATAGCAGAAAATATTTTCCATCAGTCCACCCATCCATCCATCCATTCATCCAACTAATCATCCATCCACCCACCCATCCATCCACCTAATCATCCATCCACCATCCACCCACCCACCCAGCCATCCACATCTTTTCTACATATTGCACACATCCATAAACCACAATTATTGATTCAAAATTGTTCCATGTGTATAGTCACATCTCTACTTCTATTGTGTCTTTTAACACAAGTGATCCCAAGTAGAGATGTCGCGAACCGTCCGCGAACTTCCCGCGAACGGTTCGCCGCGGTTCGCCACGAACCGTTCGCGGCGAACTCCAGTTAGCTAACACATCCCTGCCAATCTCCGGCAGACCCTCCCTCCCAGACCCTCTCATCTCCTGGACAGCATCCATGTTGAAGCTGCCTTCAACATGGATGCTGTCCAGGAAGGATGAGGGTCTGGGAGGGAGGGTCTGCCGGAGATTGGCCGGGATGTGTCAGCTGACCAGAGTTCGTGGTGAACCGTTCGCGGGAGGTTCGCGGACGGTTCGCGACATCTCTAATCCCAACATAACTTCATTCCCTCCCACAGAGTTATGGGTGTATTCATCATGCAATGACTTGTGGTTAATTAGCATGACAATTAAAGTATTTAGTAAAAAAACTGGCAATTTTCAAACAAATCCCCAATTCAGCTATTATCTGAAATATTTTGATCCACAGTTAGCATTTTCATTGTTAACACATTGCAATTTCCAGTTTAATTAAAGGAAGACAACCTGGTGAATGAATAATTAATTAAAAGAAAATATATCCACAAAAACTGCATTGACTAAACATGGACACCTGGTAAGAATTCTATTCTCGTAAGAACACTCATAGAATACATATACCACAGACATATTCCTTGTAGCCATATATTCTTCAGTATTTTGCCCAAATATCCTTTGTCATGACTGTGCCTTTAATAAGATATGGTATATAACAATATAATGATTTGTAGAATTAAAAAGTGTGTCTAAAATCGGATGGAGAATCCAGATTCAGTTGTAGACTATATTCATTTCCATCGAATGAAATACATTTTCAAAACTTTAGATTCTTTGCAAAATAATAGGCTTGGGTTATAGGATTAGAGCTTCCTTAAATTCGTAGCAGAAGTGTCAGTGCAATAACATTCATTAGTATATTTTTTTTTCATGCAGAGGGTTTGTAAAATAATAATAATAAAAAAAATACATTGCGTACATTACTATTAGAGTAAAACTAGGACAAAATTGGTCCTTGGCAATTCAAAACATAGTGGCTTTTAAAATTCAGGACTTGAGAATTATGAGAAATAAAGGGACATTCTATGTACTATAACCACTTCTTCTCATTTAAATGGTGATAGTGTCTAGAGGCCCAGGGGACATGCTTCTGTTCAGTGTTAAACTATTTTTGAATGGGTTAATGCTAGGCAAGAGTCCCTGAAATTCTGAGAGTATCTGTTGACCACTTGCAGTCTACTGACCTTTGCTGGTATGATATGGTGTAGCTAAGGAATAATTTAATCTCCATTGGACGAGGGCTGTGAGTGGCCAAGAACCCTCATTTAAAAAATGTTGAACCATTTAAAATAATAGGCTGTAGTGGTTAGGGTACTTATAGTGTTCCTTTAAATACTTGTGTATCCAAAGGAAAACTATAAGCATGTAGCTGATATTTTTAGTGCTGATATCTTAAAACAAATGTGCGTGTCTTCTTTGTCTGAGATCTATTTTAGCAAATTATATTACCATTCATTGTAAATGTGGTGATTGGCTTCCAGAACACGTGCTAAGAGCTCTGTAAGTATTATTTTTAAGACTGTCTTGCTTGCCAATAGTCAAATTAAACATCTGAATGTGAAATATGCTAAGATAGCACTTGGCAGTGTTTCCAAATGGTGTCAATTAAAAAAAAAAAAAAAAAACATATTTGCATTTGAGACATTTTTGCAAAGGTCCTGCCAGCAATTCATACTGAAAAACGAGCAATACACAAAGCAGGAGTAATCATTATTTTTGGATCCTCAAGCAGGTACTGATCTTATATAATGACATTTTTATTAAAGCTGTTCCTAGTAGTTAAAACTATTTTTATTTAAATTTAAAAATATTGCCTCTTAGAAGTCAACTCTCCTCCTTTTCCAATTTGACTATGGCTATACCGTTTTGCAGTATTCATGTCCTATTATGACTATTTATATGACTTGAATTCAAATTCTCCAGTTTTCCTAGTACTTCAGGTTATCAATTTTGGGACTAAAATGTACAATCTCCTTGTTAATTATCCACAATTCTCACTTTAGTTTCCCAGAATAAACCAATTTGTTTGTCACATTTAATATATGCTTTGTGGAATGTTTCTTTGCAACAATTGGTTTTGTTCCTTCAATACATTGTTACCTTGTTGGTGCCTGGAATGCAATAAAATACTAAGGTTGCCTACAAGGTTTCTAGATTCTTTTTCAACAGTTGGCTATTCATCAAGCAAGAGACTTGTTTATCCTACAGCTAATGCTTTCTTTGTGGAAGCAGATGTTTGTTAAGTGGTTTTGACAGAAGTGGCTTATTTCAGGACATCACAAAGGGGTAGCTTTTAATTATATTCTAAATAATTGAGTATTCAGGGTTCAGGGAACGTGTGCACAGAGATAAAATTGATTGGAGCACTATAATTCATCTGACTTTCTCATGTGCATTGGAATGAGAATGGCCCAGATAGGCCTTCCAAAAAAATGGCCAAAAAATGTACGTTTCAGATCTGGACTGCTCTTTAGGATGAAATCAGGCTAATGTACAGATGGTTAAAGTTATCTTTGTAATGCAAAGAGACAGGGGATAAACCTAGCTTAACCCCTTAAGGACCACACCAAACTGGAATAAAAGGGAATCACGACATGTCACACATGTCATGTGTCCTTAAGGGGTTAAATGAGCACTATAGTGCCAGCACTATAGTGCCCTGAGGGTGCCCCCACCCTCAGGGTCCCCCTCCCGTTGCGCTGAAGGGGGAGAAATGGGTTAATCCCTTATCTCTTTTCCAGCGCCGGGCTCCCTCGGCGCTGGGGACTCTCCTTCCTCGTGCGCATTCAGCCAGTCCATGGGAAAGCATTATCAATGCTTTCCTATGGACGCTGGTGTCACAGTGAGAAGCGCGGAAGCGCTTCTAGTGGCTGTCAATGAGACAGCCTCTAGAGGCTGGATTAACCCATAGGTAAACATAGCAGTTTCTCTGCAAAAAGGGTTAAACCTAGCTGGACCTGGCACCCAGACCACTTCATTAAGCTGAAGTGGTCTGGGTGCCTATAGTGGGCCTTTAAGAAAACAGTGGGGCCATACTAAGTTGTTTGAGTAGTTCTTCGTTCTCAGCATTCCTTTGTGCTTTTGTTTTGGTTTGTATTTAAATTGCCTGTGGGCTAAATGTGAGTTACTAGGGCACAAAATTAGAACAGCAGGACCATAGTCTGAAACTGGGAGGTCTGTGGATGCCTCTAAGAACTGAGGACTGATCGCAGGCTGTATATTTGTAGGAATAATTAATTATAGATTAGTTAGATATGGAAGACCTGAGACTTATCATTTAATCTGTTATGTGTGAATTTTTTGAATTCATTAAATCCATGTAGTCATAGTTTGATCTGCACATTGAACATTGTTTAGTTTTTTTTTCCACTTAAACTAATATAATTTCACTCACATCATAACTGCATTTAAGGGGACACTGTAGCGTTGGGAATACAAACACGTATTCCTAAAATTATAGTGCTCTATTAACTATTAAGATTATTGCCCTCCCCGCCCCCTGTAAATGAAAGAAATACATATTTTTACTTACCTTTTAGCCCTTGCCATTACATGGCCACCCTGTCTCCCAGGCTGATATTATTAATCCTGATAATCTCAGCCAATCCAATGGAACCACTGGGAGGATAGTGTACATGCTTAAAAACAAATTTCAGATGAAAACCCAGGAGGCGGTCATAGGCAGCAATGTAAGCACTGCCTTTTCTCAGAAAAGGCAGTGCTCACAATGCTCAGCCTACAGGGACAGGCTATTTGCAAATTTGCCTAATTTTCTATAAATGTGATCTCATTTTGAGTAATTTACATGAATAAAATTTCAATTAGTTTTCTAAAAAATCTAGGTGGACTTCTTGAAGCAAGTCCCCAAGTAGACAAAACTTACAAAAACAGGAGGAATCAGAAACAAGTACGCAAAAAGAATTTCATAAGTGCTATAAAAAGTGATTTATTTATTTTTTACATAAAATGTCAGTACACCTAAGCAGGAATGACATCTAGATTTAACAAGAGAAGTAAATAGGAGGTCTTTTGTAGGGAACAGTATTGACATATTTAGATACCATCATTATTTATAAAACAGTAATCAAAAGAAAATGGGAAAGCATAGTATTGCAAGGGATCCCAGCTTCTTATTCACTTGAATAAAGGAGAGCTTCTGAAGATATTTACGTGAGATTGCTCTTCAGCTCTAATCCCACAATGTTCTATATATATATATTTGACATTAAAATGTAGAAAAAGTTGGAGTTTTTGTCAGTTTAAGCATAAATTTCTAATATGTAGGTCGGCTTTTTTTTGTTAATGAAAGAAACAAATTTATTTTACTTCTCTATTAACAGACCGTGGTGTTGAAAAATGTATGTTTGGGTGAAATATATCCTATTTACATTAAAATGTGTATATTATGCTTTTTAAAAAACGACACCCACACATATATATAGTTCAAAACTACAAATGGAAGCACTGTGCATTGGAACTAAACATTGCTGGAGAACCCACATGTCTTCCTCACAAGGCCAAATAGTTACTTTAATATGGTCAAGGTTGAGAGTTTTAAGAGAAGGTTAGTAAGAATGCCAACCACCTGAAATAAACCTAAAGTTTATGTTTTTTTCAGGTGGTTGGCATTCTTACTAACCTTCTCTTAAAACTCTCAACCTTGACCACATTGTACCACTGGTGGACTGGAGAGATCCACCTATGAGTGTTGTAGCTGCTGCATGTACCTTACATCTTTTTTCTTTTTTCTCAGCGCCGATTGGGCACACAGATCACTTTGGTTATATTAGTTACCTTAATATATTTTGCTAGCCGTGTTTCTTGTTCATAAGGCATCTGTATGCTAAATACATATCCTGTTTTGCCAATTTCAATGATAGTTCTACAAGCTCAGGGGTGTATTTACCACAAGGCTGACAAGGCGGCACTTTTTGTGGGATGGCAAAAAAAGCTGCCCCAATCGCCCTGGCAAATGCTTTGCCAGCCTCTTGTCCTAGGGGGGCCCAGGAGTTTGCCGACTGGCCACCTCAGGGCCCCCCTCCCCCCAGGCTGGCAGCGGCAGCACTTTCCAGGCGGGCAGTGAGGGAGCACGATCCTCCTGTTCAGCTCCTCGCGCCTACCATAGTGATGCTGGAGATGGAATATGACGTCACTCCGGCCCAGGCATCACTACGCGGC